TATTTTTTGTTACCACCTTCCTCTCTTCAGTTTAAAGCTCCTTAATACTTTGCTGGAAGTAACTTTCTTACTTTTTTTCTGCATTGCTACTTGAGAAGATTCCTTGCGTCAGCAACGTTACCAGTACCTTCCTGAAGTTTTATGAGGTAGCGCGACATTTTGGCACTCCTCAAATGCTTATCTCCCTAAGAAATTGTATACGTGTGCAGATTTGTGATCCTGTTTCCACAGGCTTTGTACAATAGTGCGAGTAACTTTTATTAGTATGGGTTTTTTTAAATACTCGCCGCTTCATGAGGGGCTTGGGGGAATTGATTTACTGTTCCGCGTTTCCAATGGCAATGCAAAGCCAACAAGAAACTCGTGAGACGAATGCGAGGTCAGTAGGATAATACACTCTTAAGATATTCTTAAGGCAGTAATCATAGTGATTCCGAAGTGCTCAAGCCTTGCTTGAAGGCTCTATTTGGATAGGTAGTTCACTTTACATCGTAGTGAATAGCGCCCTCTGTTGGTTGCGTATTTCGAAAACCGTACATCTCCATGTTTTTAGTAGCTATGAGCTCCCAGACACCTAAGTAGTTATATTAACGAGCTTATATTTTTCTCGAAAGTTCAAGTAAACCACTCTGCAATTTGCGTATATCTCTTAATCATTTCATCTTATTTTTGTGGAAGCTTCAGTGTGACAGTTTTATTATCTTAGGAAGCAAAGCTATAAAACTTTTATTATTTCCACAGCGCGCATTCTCGTGACCCTTTTTTTACATTCCAGTGACGCGTATCACTGTTTAGTACTTACATGGATAAAGTCATGTACCCTTACCCAGTCGGTGAATTTCTCAATCACCTAACGCGTTTTGTGTGAGTTTTAAATGCACATCCTTCGTGCTGTGAATTTTGATGTTTATCAATCTGGAGGGATTCAAGCCTTTCATATTCCCTTCCTGGTAATTGAGGGTGCGTTGCTCTAGTGGTGATCATCAACTTCGACCACTTGGACAACATCGTTTCCTGCTTAAGCAACTCTCATCGTGTCTCTGGGTTTCTTTTAGCTGGAATGCAGTACCTGCTTTACGCCTTGTTTCTTATCGCAAATAAGTCCACGATATTTAGGCTCGAAGTCGTTTCGAAGGTTAAGACTTTCTATTGCTTGACGAAAATGTTTGTGGACAACGTATTCATTGTTCTGTTAAATTATCTCTTAGCAGCTCATATAAAATTTTGAGGAAGTCTAGTGCTTCCCAGTCGTTACGTATAAATCTTGTGATAACCTTTCTTTATGATAGTTTTATTACCTTAGGAAACTGTCGCGTCTTCAAAGCTGTTATTGCGCCACTGTGCTTTCAAGCCTCCTTTTTCAAGTTCATTTTTTTTCATAAATTGACTCATATTATCTTTCTCACTATCCATCAATTTACCATTAATTTTCCTTATTTTAAAGTTATTCCCATAATTTTCGTCAAAATGTCTAAAAGAGATTTTTTGATGCCTATAAATGCGTGAACAGAAATGTTTTTTCGGGCTGGAAAAGGCATGATAGGAGTTGATTTCCCCGAAAATTCCTTGCCTCATTACTTATCCCTCTACCCATTGCTAAAAGTTTAACGTGAGACAGGGTTGGAAGTGCAAACGTGGCAGATCTGCTTTCGAGTGGTTACTCTGGCGATAGTTAGTGGTCTTTTCCTCGTCAAGGACATTATATAAGAATATATTTTTCCATTTTTAGTCCCCCGTCTAATTTAGAATTTTGCAGCTCCAGTAGAAATTACTGTTTCTTATTTTAAAAATGCTGGATGTTAAAATCCGTGAACGTGATTTGAATCCTTAATTTCCGTGTATGGACTGAGTTGCTGCTCGATTGACTTAAATTTTGTGCCCTTGCGATTCCGCAGTATACAAAACTAGCTAGGATAATTTCATTGCTAATTCGGTGATTAAATTCATTTTCCATCTCTACTCAATTTGACATTCATTAAAATGATTCCCACTTTTTTTCAGGTGGAAGACCAATTCTTCTGTGAGGACTGCACCAACGGTCGGGTTCCGCGCTACGGCGAGATCGTGTGGGTGCGCATACCACCTTTGGGTTACCCAAAGGTCACCAAGAACCTCAACGATCTCGCGCCTAGTCTTCGATTCCTTCGGCACACCTTCCCCCCTGACGATGTTCACAAAGATCTCAAGGGAGTCCGCTGGTGGCCGGGTGAGATTTTGCATCATCGATCCCTCCGTCTCGGTGGTCCTGCCACCAGTGACTTCGATCAGATTAATCAAGCCGCACGCCTTGGTTTTTTTGCTGTCCGATTGTTCGGCCTCTACTCTGCAACTCCTTTCAATGGCATCAAACCTCGCGATGCAGCTTCTGCGGTAGCTGCAGCGAGAACGCGATATGGCCGAAATGACCGGCGCATCTTTCCCGTGTGTTTGTGGACTACTCAGGCTCGTGTTTTTTACTTCGAGGAGGGAGATGCTGAAATGGAGCAAAGTGGTGAAGACGGTGACGGTGATGGAGTTTGTACAACCGTAAACGTCGATAATAACGAGAATGAAAATGACAATGATGACCTGGAATCAACGTAAGCTTCTTTGCATTTCTTAATGGCACGCCGTGTGACATTAGGAAGTCATCTGACGTTCGTCTTACACTTCCGTTATATCATGCGGTGGCTTTGCCCTCTGGTAGAGGCAGGAATGGGAACAGTATGAGCAAAATATTCAGACGAATAGTGATTATTAATCGGCGCCTTCTCTGCCTCCTTATTTAAAGTCTTTTACCTGTTTGGTGTTGGTATGGTTTGCTTTGACAAGCTGTTGCATTTTACGCCTCTCTGAAGGGAATTTTCGAAAACCACAGTCATCCTCCTATTTAATAGCGGCATTCAAGTAAAATTGGGATTTTTTATGGCAATACCAAATATCGTATTGTTTTTTCGCTACTTAACCTGCATAAGTGAGATGGTAATAAGCGTGAAGGCCACCGATTATAAGGTGTGTTTGGAACGGTTGGCTAAAAATTGCAGCTGTTCACAGGCGATTTTAGGCCCAAAACAGCAAACGGGGTTTTAACGATATTTTAGGAAAAATTCAATTAATACTCAAGTAGATCTAACCAATTTACTACAAGATTATACAAGAAGTGTATTCTTCTTATTGATAACGAGTGTAATCATTTACGGTCATTTGTGCCCTACACTTCGTGTTGGACAGTAATCCAGCATTCATAGGAACATCGTTAAAATTTAAATAATTTGTTTAGTAGAAGGACTGGTTTTTTGAATCCCATTACTTCATTCTGCAATTAAAGTGACCATTGAGCCAGCGAAAGCATGGGGACTAGTCACTGGTGATGAAGTGAAACAACCATATCAAGGTGCCTCGGTTACTAGCATCTATGTCAAGGAGCTTGCCATTTCACGGCTAGAAATGTTTTGCGTTTTGACGAACTTATAAGCCTCGTTTTGATTTCAACACTAGCTATAAAATGCGAAGATTGGGCTTGTAATTAGCGTTGACAGCTAGAAATTGGCTGATGGATGGTTGGGAGGTGGAGAATGGAGGAGATTCAATTGTCCGTCCAATGTTCCGCTTTCTGCTGTTGAAGGTACCCAAGGTAATTGCGTCTTCTATTTACCAACTTCAGAGACGGGGAAAGCATGACCGAAGAGGATCCGATCATGGCTACTTTTCTTTCGCCTAAACGTCCTTCGTCACGCTCTCCCAAGGCACTGCCAAGTCCAGCCCGCGGCGATCGAATTTCCTCACCGTGCTCAGGCCGCCGTGTTGAGCGCAGGAGTAGCGAAAACGATCGTCAGTGCCGTCGAAAACGGTTGGCTGTTCAATGGAGAGAAGCCTACCTAAGAGCTACAAAGATGGCGGGCGAGGGTTTGGCTGCTCGGAAGGTCACGCGGGCAGAAAACTTGAAGAACTCCGAGGATCGTCCAGATTACTACGAGTATATCAAGGCATGTCTTCCTATTTTATTTATAATTTCCAGCTCTATAGAATGGTATTATAGCCTATGAGGCGTTAAATGATTAGTTAAACATGGAAAAGTGCTAGGACTATCACATGGCCATTGTCCGTTTTGTTACGCATAGTGGCTTCTCATCATCACATGAATCCTTTTAATATCCACTTACATAAAAGCTTTGTGCTGGTTGAGGTCGGAGCATGTGGTGTGTGTGATAGTCGCCTTTCTCCGAAGCATTCCTCCAAACCCGCGTTTTTCTACTGATCAAGTAATTCTTATGTCTGAAAAATTCTGGAATTTTGAGAATCGTCTTTTGTATTGAGCTTCAAAATTATCGTTATTGCCAAACATGCAAGGTTTGCGTTACCTTTAAAAGCACCATGACAATAGCGTCTTTCTTTGAGTAATGGAGGTTTAACGCAATTTCTCATACTGTCTGCAGTTCTTGAACTGTAGGAATTTGAAAGACTCTTTCAAAGCAAATAACTCTCCTTCCATCCCCTTCGTATTCTGTTTTCTTCGTTATCATTTCTCCATTTCAGACGTAACCAAGTGAAGTCAATTACTGTTATTTCAATGGCATCTCTGCCATGAGTCTACTTCGACTTATTCCATCAAAACTAAGTCAGAATAGGTTTCATATTCTAAGGAATAAGAACAATTTTAGTAGACGCTGGATATCTATCAGTCCTTATACCTCTTGGCTCCTCTGGGAAAAAGAACAGTTATTCAAACGCTTTCAGACAGAGTAACACGAGTTAGTACGTGTAGACTATTGGATGAATCGCGGTGGCGGTGGTTGGATTAAAAATGGACCGGAAACGTCGTCAAATCGTCTTATGGCTGCGATGGTGCACGGCCAAGGGTAGGGAGGCGCTCATTTTCATCCTTTTTCAATCTAACGGATCATGTCTCCTTCCAGACACCGGGCATGCCATGGTGTTTGGTGTTGGTGCTGCTTTTTTTGATCCGCATCATAAGGTCCATCTTAATGCAATATCAAATCGCATTGTTCTCCTCTCCTTTGCTAACTGTTTACAATTGTAAAAAGGGGAGCCCTTTTCTCTCTGTTTGGCCTCAGCGTCATGGATGCCATCTTCGCTTAGCACTTTTTTAAACTCTTTTCTATTTCACTTCGAGTGGAAGCTGTCAAACATTCAATACACACAGAATGTAATGAAGGTAACCTAGATAACCTTCAGAAGAATGGGATAGAAGTTTTTGTGATTTATAAAGGTAATTGTCTGAATTCTCTTTGCGGTCGGCTTTTGAGTCAGACATTATGCTTAGGTCTGGGCGCCATATTTCATGAATTCGGTAACCCCTATAGGAGTTAGTATCTGTTCAAAGGATGTACTACCAACATGTTTTGACAGTGGATAAAACTTACCCGTTTTACAAGTGCATATTTAGATCATAAATTACTTTTCATTTTCAAAAGTTCATTGGACAAAATTTTGGGGGAGCCTGATGTTCTTGAGGCGCGGAAAACTAAATTTAACACTGCAATTAATTAATCTTACTTCATATGAAAAGTAAATCTCACTTTCCGCCTGTTTTGATGTCTCTGCTGTTGTTGCTGCTCTTTTTAGCTCTTGGTATCCAGTGGGGCTTCCGTTTGACATTTAATGGATGAAACGACCCATCAAATTTATTTTCTCTCCCCAATAACAGTTATTATTAATCCTGTAGTTTAGTCAGAATTCGAGATTGCCACTGCTCAAAGGCTCTCCTGTATCCTACTATTACCATCATAACAGTCTGGTCCTTTATTTGCTTTCCAAAAGCAGCAATCAGCAAGAGATTTCGACGCCAACTTATTGACGTCAGTGTAGTGCTCAAGTAATTTTGTCTTCAGAACCTGATAGTGAATCCTTTGGACAGATTTTTGGGTCTCCATCGCTTCTCTCTTCCATGCTAGATGTTTTTTTTTCTGTAAATTCATTTGACTTGTCCAGAATTAAACCTTTTCTGAGTATATTTGAAATACTTACCCAATGTGTTAAAGAATGCGAAAGCGATAATGAAGCCCTCAAAGGCCTGACACGACTTACTGATTACTGTCCGCGATTAAGGCAAAACAATTAAGTGATTTGCGACTGAGTGGTGGACATGCCACGTGGTCTGAGTCGATTGCAAAAAGGTAGCATCAACTGCCGCATTCTATTTGTGTTCCTTTTTTACCCCTTCAATTGAAACCATGATGGTCAACTAATTATGCACACAAACAGTCGAGGGGGAAATGCGCAAACGATGGGCTGAGTGCGGCGATGCCTCGCCTTGATTAAGGGCCATATCGATGACGAGGTTGATACTGGTATCGTGTTTACTCTCTGCTCAACCTGTCTTGGCATTGTTTTTTTTCTGCCATTCTATTCTATAATTTAGTGAGGGTGGTGTCGACCGATGCTTTGATTCTATTCCCTCGATTTCTGCTCCTCATTCTCCACTCCACTCTGCACGACCACCTTTTTGTGTTCCCCATTTGTTGATTTATTTGCCCTGATAATGGTGGAGACGCTACTTATCTATGCTTTCCTCATCTGTGTCCTGTACAAAAATTAAGTGGATTTCAAATCGTGTGCTTCCAGAGGCTCAATGGCTTGGGTTGGTGGAAGGCTTCGAAATCAGAACTGTTTCTGTACCATCTTAAAACCGATATTTTACTGCTTCATTTAATCACCATGTCATATTGTATCCATTATCAACTGTTCTGATAGACAAACTACTTTGGTTGAATCCGTCTGGGCCTAGTTGTTATCCTCCATTTAAAACTTGTAATATCTGTTGATTGATAAACCCCTTGTCTCTTCCTGAGAGATCCCATGCTGATCAGGCATCCGCATGTAGTAGGCTTTTTTAACATGGCCTTCGAAGCTTTTCTCGAATATGCTCTGAAAAATTTCTTGACCTCAATCAAATTACTTTAATAAGCATCTTGAAATATTCAAAGATGGCAGGAGTTGTGGTTCAAAGAAGGTGAGAAGCTTGAGGATAAAGATTGCTTATTTCCATCAGTAGGAGTTGTACCACAGGTGGTGTGGGTTGCTGTATGGTTTTGTCGTTAAAGAGTGCAGTAAATGTTGCTGGTCTGTTGTCGTTCTTGAAAATTGGGATGGCTGAGTGATACTGGCATCGAATTCCTAGGAGTCCTAATTTAATCCCAAGTGCCTATGGGATTCACTGTGTCCATTTCTCATAGATTCAAGTACCATCAGTTACACGATTTGCAGAAGGTAAACGGTTAACCATCACCACCTTCCTTTCCGTGGCTCATATTTTATCCCCTTGCCTGCCTCATTTCTCAGACCGACCTTTTTTACTTCAACTAATTTTTATTTTTCGCCTCGACACTGCTCCAGGCTCGGATGGGGGCCGGATACGCCTGGACGGGCAGATGGTCTAGCGCATGTGTGTGTAACGATCTTAACTTGTGTGTGAGGAAAAAGGATGGAAGTTTGAGTTTCTGTTTCTCCCTAAGGACATACAAATGCTTTATCTGAATCGCAATTTTCGGATTGCTTTCGTTCGTTTTTTCTACCTTTCATGTGTTATTTGTGGCCTTTGTACGTTGAGAATGGGAAGTTGGAACGCGATTCATCATATTTATTTTAGTTTTAAGACTTTTTGACTTGAGAATGCAAATTTGATGCTTGAAACAGGCAACTACCGCCAAATTTTACAAAGCTGAAGCAACAAATTGCCTCAAAGCAGGACTTTTGTAGTTTGGGGTAGGCAAATAGGCTCTATTACGTAAATGCTTTTTAACCGAAACTGTCAATGCTTTTTTGGATTGAATACTTTGAACTATTCCATTCCGGTTAGTCATTACTTCATTATTTATATTGGGCAACTTCTATGGGACTTGTTACCTCGGCCTAAGATCTAATACTATAACAAATCAATTTGGAAACAATTATATCACTGCGAGTTGAGAATTATGATCATCTGACTGGCCTTACCATTGTTCGCTATTCCTCTAGACCAACAGAGCTATCGGCCCTGTGCGAATTCGTCGATGTACTGACCTTTCAGAAGTACCACAGTGCGAGTGCAGTTCCTCCGATCCCTGCGGTCCCAACAGCGGTTGTGTTAACCGCTCACTGCTTTACGAATGCCTTGCTAGCGTTTGTGTTCACGGCAAGGCTTGCCGTAACCAGTTCTTCACACGTCGTCAGTATCCGAAACAGATCGCTTTCTATACTGGAAAGGAGCGTGGCTGGGGTCTCAAGACCTTTGTGGCTATTCAGAAAGTCTGTTTCTGCTATATCTGTTGATTTTTTTACCCACATGGTACCGGGCCTTCCGGTTTCGATCAAGGTTGAGAAGGGTTAGAGTCGTCTTTTATTAATTATCAAAAAGTCACGAAAGTTTTGTCATGAATCGTTTTGGCTTATCTCGCTAAAATGGTTCCCTTTTGTTAAGCGATTCACAAAACGATTTGATCTAGATTTGCTAAGGAAAGTATGGAGTGTCATGAACTTGGGGATTTGTGCGTGGAAATTCGCCCTAACTAAGGTACATTAACTGTTTCACATGGTTGTATTAAGCTGCTGTACTAAAGAGGTAAGAAGGAGAGGTTATTTACTGATATATTTCATTTGATAGCCCTTTAATTTTTTCTAAATAAGAGTTCGCTGACTAGAACCTGTTTAGCGTGGTTACTTGTATCTGCTGAAACCACATAATTATGAGTGTAGAAGGATATATCGCTTGCGTAAATAAGAGTCATATGATGGTTAACAAGGCATTAGAAATGGTCTTCGTCCTCTAACCACCAACCCTCTCATTTCCCTTTTTCATAGGGCGATTTCGTTAACGAGTATGTGGGTGACCTTATTGATGAAGCAGAAGCCAATAGACGACTGACGTTCCTACACAAAAACAACATACACAACTTCTACATGATGCAAATGGATTCCCAACGCATCATTGATGCTGGACCAAAGGGTAACTTAAGTCGCTTTATGAATCACTCCTGCTGCCCTAACCTCTTCACTCAAAAATGGACTGTCAATGGAGATACACGGATTGGCCTTTTTGCTCTTCGGTGAGTTGGGTCAGCGTTTTTTATTTTATCCATTTTCGTTTCTCGAGAAGCTTAATGTAAAATGCTAAAATGAGGCACCAAGTATCCTACTCGGCACCTGGTGATGGTTATTAGTACGTTTGTAATGGAACCTATTTTGATCGCTCTCTTTTAGCGATATCGCTCCAGGAGAGGAGCTGACCTTCAACTACAATTTCTGCTCCCTTGGTCAAGAGATGAAGGTGTGTTTCTGCGGTGCGGAGACATGTGCGGGCTATCTGGGTGCCCGTCCCGATCACAGCTCTGCTCCTATTGCTGCTTCCGCAACCTCTGTCTCTGCCTCTAGCACCACTACAGACTCGGTCCAATCTGTTCAGGAGCGTAATCGTCGCAGTTCCATGTCTCAGAAGCAGAAAAAGGCGTCTGCTTTAAAGAAGAAGGTACCTCCTTCTCCCCCGACACCATCCACTGCTACCACTACTGCTGCCAATGTTGCGGTTACTGGGACCGGTAGAAGCGAGGTCAAGTCTTTATCATCCTCTAGCACAGCCAACACCCCCAGAGTAAACACGACCAATCCAAGTACCCGACTTAAGTGCTACCGGTGCGTAATTCCTTCCTTCCAAACATTACACCCTTTTCATAATCAAATTTTCCTTCTGGTTAAGTTTATTTACCTTAGCTGTAATAGTTATCTTTCGTAATTAAGATTGTAGTTTTGAATCGTGAATTTTAGTACATTACTAACTTATTCAGTTCTCACTCTTTTGAGTATGCATTGTGATGCCTTTATTGTGCTGGTGTGTCGACATCAGTTCACTGCTCATTCAATTGGGTGTAGAGTAGACTAGGAGAAATTTCTTTTCATTTGGACCATGGAAGAGCATTTGTCCAGGTCGTGTAGTGCTACTTGGTGGCTGATCCCATTAAAAGGTTGGGCAAATTCTGTTTCTTAAATAATGAAGTTTTTGAGGTCAATCTTTACTGATACGATAAAATTATGACCGGCTGCCAGTTTTGATATTGGAATCATTACTTTCATTCCACATTGAGGGTGCACCGATAGAATTAACAGAAACGTGGACGATGTGTGAATTTACGCCAAACATTCAGTTACATGCTCATAGGTCTCGCGAGATTCTTGTATTTCACTTCTGATTTCCGCAATTCATTCGTCGCACTCGTCTACCCTTGTCAATAAAGTGCGGCGGCTTTGTTTAGGCGTAGGAGTTGCATCCATTAGTCTCGTCTCTCTCTAGCTCTCACTTTCTGCCTACTTTTTTTTAGGTTTTGAGGTGGGGCTCCAGTTCCGCTGCCATGTTCCTCTCTTTTTTCCCCCCTATTGTCTCCCTCCCATTCCTCCTCTTTCTATACCACACCCTTGTTTCTCTGCTTCTGCTCACTTCCTCAACAAATAGGGGAAAAGTGAGGTACCGATGTCGTTGCGTTCGCGTTCGCCACATTGTTGTAGAAGGCGGGAAAGTTGAATATCTTTCTTTTCTTCACTAAGTGGTTATCTTTTTTACTCTTTTTCTGGGATGCTGGAGTGACAGTGATGACAACTTTGCAGTCTTCCCTTCAGCTTAACAAATTTATGATCTCATGAAACATTCCGCCCAACTATTCAATGGTAGATTAACGTGAAATGATAGGGCAGACTATCTACTGACTTTTCCTATTGTAGGTGCAACAAGGTTGTCGCGAACGTCCAAGAAGTTCAGTCTTCTCCATACTTTACATCAAAAATCTTGGAAACTCCAATTAGCCCAACCAAATCCAAGCGTGGACGTCGTGTTTCTGAAAGATACCCCAAAGCTTCTTCTGCCGCATCATCATCGTTAACCGCTAACATTGCCATTATTTGCCCACGAGTCGACTGTCGTAAGGTCTACCATTTGTCTTGTCTCTCGAACAAACCTCTACCCACAGGTAATCATTATTTTCATTCCTAGGTTCAGTAGCTCTACCATTTTTCATTGTTTATTTACCATACTTTTCATGCTTTCGCTCCTTTCAAGATCGATGGATGTGTCCGTGGCACCACTGTGACGCCTGTGGGCGCCCGTCGACCGTTTTCTGTCAGCTTTGCACCACCTCTTTCTGCTCTAGTCACGTCGAGGGTAGTGTGGCTGTTCTACCCCCTCTAATTTCGGGTGGATGTGCTCAGGTGTGTGCATCTTGCTGAGAATTTGGAATCAAATTTTGTACCTTCATATATGATTTTTGCGTTGGGTTTAGGAAGGCCACGATAGATCATGATGTTGTAGCAGCTTTTTAAGACATTTGAAGCGAAGATGATGTTTTTCTCTCTATCTCTCGCCACTCTCATTAAACAAAGTATGGTTAGGAATCGGTCTCAGTGCTTTAGTTCGGACTTAATCCTGAGAATGGTGTTTTCCATTTTGCCTCCCTTCCAGGTCGTATGTCTGTCCCATACTGAGGTAATTGCAGAATACAACAATCGCAATGACTCCTCGGGCAGTAGTAGCAATACCGACGACGACGATGAAGAAGAAGAAGAAGAAGAGGGTGGGAATGAACAGAATGGTTTTTGTTCTCACGATCTAACCTCTTCCGTTACGGAAACTGAGGGCGGGGAGGTGGGAAGAAATGAGGGCAAGGGGAAAGTGGATCCGGTGAAGGTAGAAGGCAACGGCGACGTCAATATCAAGAGAGGTGGAAAGTGCGAACGTGAATCGCCTCTCCTTGCACCTGCTCAGTCCTGTAAACGTCAGCGGGTCGAGACTTTTATTGACGCTGAAAGTGACATAAAGTCTTAGGTGTTTCTTCTTCTTGACCTAGCATTTATTAGCACTATTCGAAGTATTTATTGGTACTTGCGATAATAACACTAACAGTACAGTGGTTTGAAGCCGATTGTGTTGATGATTGCCCTTTCTCACCTCACTCGCTTGCTCGGCTGTCCGTGTGCCGCTCCACCTTCCTTCATCTACTTTCTCTTCCGTCTTGTTTGTACAGCGCAAGATATCCTTCTCCACCCTATTTTTTTAGTGTGTGCTTTTACAAATAGCTGTGTTTGTATTCTATCGATATGTATGTATATGTATGGAATAGGTTCTATCTTCTTTGAATATAATGTCTCCGTTGCCAAAAATTTCCATAACCGTTTCTATCACTGGCCCCTTTCGAATGCTTGATTCGTCTGTTGGGTGTGTTTGAGGGGTGTGTGATTGTAATCGGAACATTGCATCAAAGGCATGATGCATTAACCTTTGGTTCATCATGCGTTCCACTTCAGGTAATCATCACGACTGCTTGATGTATGTCATTTTTTATGTGGCTAAAATGAAGTCAAGGTTTCAATAGAAGGAACCGATGCCTCGATGTTTCTTTGCTGATTGAAATTAGCATTACTTAAGAGGTTGGTGATTTGCAGTCGTCATAAATCTATCTACGAATCGAAACTGATTAATTTGGGCTCCCAAATTTGTAATGTTGTCGCAACTGTATAAGTTTGTTTTCGGCCAAGTTTAATCTGTTCGAAGATTAGATTTCTCAAATGAAATGTTACATCATTGTGCTAGCTAAGCTCAGTAGATTAAATCAGTAATTGTTTAGTATCAGGTTTCCATCTCCATATCTAAAGTAGTGGCAAGTTGCTTCTGGATGCCCTTTCTTTACGCTGTAACAGGCTTTGAAGACGATTTTTGAAATTCTCTTCCAGTATTGCTCTGTGCAAATTAATGTTCTAATTGTAACATCACTCTTCTACTTTTGAGCTAGCCGTGGGCTTCCACCCATTCATGGAATAGCGAACTGGGAGTACCTTTGACTATCATTGAGTTCTGTGTCACTTAGCTTGGAAAAAAAATTCAACTTGGAGACTAGAATGTATTGGTCGAAGGGAATGCTAAATCATTGCGTCCGCAGCATCTCTGGAAGGTGTTGGTCTAAGTTTTTCGACGTTATGAAGATACCAGAACTTCTCAACTTCCACTTTACTGTCCGCAATTTTCAAGCAGAATTCGTAGCACTATGTCATCTCATCAACTGTTGTCTAGTTGCTTCCAAAGGCGATTTGATTAGGATCGTATTGCTGTTTTTTTATGGGCGCCACTTCATGATCGGTGCCTCAGGCCATACATCAAAGGCAGGAGAAGTAATTAATCCCCAACAATGCACACATGCATACACACTCACTGAAGAGGCACATTTCGAAACGCATTAAAGGCCAAAAAACGTTTTTTTATCGCCCATGTGTGCTGTAGGAAGGTTGGCAGAGAGGGGTGGACTGGCTTGCTGGCGGGATTGCTGGTTAGCTGGTAGTAGTAACGTCCTCAACTCTGCCCTGCCGTACCGTCGTCTCTTAGCGGTTTGGCTTTGTGTTATCAGGCCATGAGAATCACGAACGGCCATACACATGTGTGGTGTATGCAAAAAGAGGTAGAGAGGCACAGGGCCATAAATCGCGTTTACGACGATCAGATATTAATGAGAGTGAGTGGGCGGGGACTAACTACTAGTGGGGGTATTGTGCTTATTTATGGGCCTTAGTAAAATACTCAGAAGTCGGAGCTGGCTATGATGCTAGGTGAGAGGGCCAAACCTGGATGTCTTGACGTAATGGTTCTACGGAAGTGCATATATGGAGGGATGAGTCGGCACTGCAGTAGACAAATCGCGTCTGGACGGAGAATTCTATCCTGTGGCCATTATCTCATTTACCCGTTCATCCTCCCCTTCGCCTTCCTTTACTCTCGTCCTACTCTTGCCCTCTCTCTCTCTCTGCATTATCTGATTTGCACTACCTGCTGGTAATTTCACCACTTAGGATAAGGAGGCAAAGCATAATTAGTTGCGGTAATACTCCAATGACGTTATCATGGTTGACCTGGAAGTAGATTGGCGACAATCCTTGCTGCTTGGATTCATTCTTCAGCCACTTAGGCGAAGATACCTGACCAGAACCTACTCAGACTCAAAGTCGAATGTTGGAAGGCAGAAGCAATCGTGAGAATTGCAAGGCTTGCTGAGAATCGTGAAGCAATATGGAAAGGAAATCAAGCTGACAGCAGCTGCGCCACTAATATCAGTCCAAGCTAATAAGAAACAGACTTCCCAAACAGCGATCAAATGCATTATAAACTGTCATCAGTCTCGGGTCTTCTTTGTTTTACAAGGCAATTGATAGTCATTTCCTTCCAAAATAAGGTACGGTTACAATAAAAGCTAAATATGTGCTGCAAGCTTTTGAAAGAAGTAATTTTTAAAAGCAATGTCTACTGTGACTCGTGTAGAGGGTTAGTTTTAACTGGTCCAAAATGTTTTTCTTTGTCAAAAGACAGTAAAGGTCTTAGTCTTGGTCCACCGAATTGTTATTTTCTCGCCTAGCCATTCTCTTTTCTACATGCTCACGTGGTTGTTTAGTAGTAGAGTGAAGGGGAAGTGGTATTTTCTGATTGGAGAGGGCAGGGCATCAGGGTATGAGGTCTCCTTCAAACTCCTATGGCGTAATGAGGTCTACGCGTTCTTGTGGACTTCCCTCACAGCCTCTTCGTCTTCGTGATGGTGAGTTGATTGTTGGTATGGAGAATACTGCGATAATTTTATGAGAATCAGGACAAAGAGCTCCGATGGACTGAAACATACCGCTGTTTTGTTATTACAGGCAACTTAACTAAAAATTTGGCGGGAGTTATTGAATCGCTTGCAGCATCATATCGACGTGTAGTCCACTTTTCTCGTTTGAGTTTGGCCTCACAGGAAGCACTCATCTATCAGTTGAGATTGATAAAATCTTTGGTTTCGACTTGATGACTTGGGCTACAAACAGGCTTTTGGTTTAAACCGTAGCTGCACTGCCGTAGTGTATGTTCTCGGTTGTCTTCATGTCAGAGGTGCGGCGATTCTTTAAATTCCATTGAAATGTTTAATTGGAAGCTTGTCTCTGACACTAATCTGAATGCCTGTAAACAGAAAAATGTTTAGGTTTCACTTTGAAACTTTCCGATGAGTGTTGCACTGACTTCCAAAGGTAAAGCAATGTGGTGGGGTTTACTCCTCACTTTACCCTTCACTCTCCACTCCATTAGACGAGTTTTATTCGCATAAACTCTGACAAGAGCGCTACAGTCTAGACAATGCGTAATATTACCCGTCAGAGACGCAGACTCGTAAAAGAATTTGCCAACGGGTGGGTCTGGTTGTTTTGGCTTGTCTACAGACGTCAGGGGCACGTGGAAGGAAGTTGTCATCTGTCCGACTCGTTCATATTTACCGCACTGATAACAATGACAGGAAATGACGTGACAGTTGTCTGTGTCAAACTGGGACATAACGGAGGAAACGCTTTTCCTGGAATCAGGACGGTCAGTTTTCATCGCCATCTCTCTACAGAATTGTATTCTAACGCCCTTAAGACACCCGTCGATGTAGTGATAACAATCATTTAACATAGGAATAGTGAGATGCAAATCTGCCTCTTTCACTCAAATCTTAGTTGTTGCACCATCCACGTGACTAAACGTGCAGTGCATAAGTTTGTATTTGTGCATTGTCTTCGAGACGCAGAACCACTTTGCACCCGCGTCGCCTTAAGCACAACGGTACTGTCACTACATCCCATGACAGCCGCCATGGCACTAGTGGTCAACTTGAATCACTCCACTTCTCCTTTCGTTGGCACCTACACCACTTCTGTCTAAAACGCCTCTCATGCCTTTTGATTCCTCTACGAAATAAAGTGCCGGCATTTCATCACACAGAAGTCACTCAAGCACCAATATACCGGTTCTTCAAAAATGGTCTTATTTTGCCAACTCATGCTTAGTGCTAGCTTCATACGATGGCATACACCTAGAATGCCTCAAGACTGCACTTTCTGTAGCCAAGATTGAAGGGGGCGTCCATGTTAATAATTCGTTTTTTTAAAGTTACTCTTTACTATGCAGGGCTTCCAGCATCCGGGATATGAACTTCCGTTTCGCTTTTCGCATTTTCCGACCATGACTACATTTTCTAACCCCTCTGGTTATTAACTATAAATCTTCTTCCATTTAGCCTGGAGAGTCATCTAGGCGCTTCTCCAGTAATAATCATAAAGTTAAGCAAATGTTGCTGTCAAAGCGACGTACATCTTTCAACCTACAAGAAGGCATTGAGTCATGGAATGCTTTTAGCCACTCATCCACTTTTTATGTCCAATTTCTCTCATTTTTGATCACAGTTGATTTAAAGGACTGTAAGTTAAAGGAAGGCGACTCAGTTGGTTACTACTTTGAACTACTTCAATCCCACTTTGGACAACACCTTCCATCAAGTCAAATTGGAAGTTGATGTGCATTTATAGAACAATAATTTCTCCAAAGACTAATTGATGCTTCGAAGTGTCCTGTACGCATCTCATACTAACTTCTTCAAAAGCCGCAAATAGACTGTGGCAGTCTGGAAGGAGACAATGTAAAGCAAGGAGAAAGGCAAAACGGATGAGCGGAGGATCATGTAAACAAGGCAGAACTTGGGGTCATGCTTTGTTGACAGAAAGAAATGGAGACCGGTCAATGTAAGAGTAGTTAGAAGTTGAGTAATGCTATTTCTTACTATAGTTAAAAAATAAGGTAGAATCAATGGATTTTGAATAGTAGTATTGTAACGTACTCCAATATCCAAAGGCTGCCTTGCTTATCAAGATCACCACATCGCTGTTGTGGATTCGAGTTAAAAAATTCCTTTGAACCACCCACCTGTTTCGTATCCTTGACAGTCGCTTCTGGCTTCAGACTAAGTAAAATGGCGCAGTAGCCTATCCACTCATTCTGTA